AGTTTTTGGCGTAAATTTTGATATTAAGGAAAGTTAGAAGTTTGAGTTTTGAAGGGTTGGCTATGTGTACCCTGCAACCAATACATCGGAGGAAAATTTTTGGGAAAAACTTAAGAAAAACCGCTTAAGTTTTGGGCGGTTTGAGCGGTTCTTGCTAGTATTAGATGCAAAGATTTGGGCAGTTTTCAAGCGATTTGAGCGCATATGTCCCAAAAACTGCTCAAACCGCACAAACCTGAAATGTTTTTGAGCGGGATCTCGACAAGGGCAACGTAGAAAACTAAAAGTATAGAAGTCTCTCAATCATTTGTGTTTAAATTCAAAAATGGCATAATTTCTTAGCACTGGATAATCAATTTGAAAGGTTTTACACCATTTTTCTAGCAAAAAATTGTAGAAAAATAGCCATTTTGCTCTGCGCTTTTAATTTACGACATAATTCATTTGGCACCGTATTGATGTGTCCTATTGAAAACATTTTGTAGCTTGGAAATGAATGGTAGAATGCCTGAGTTCAGATGAAATTTTTCTTGATGTTCGTTCAGTTCTGTTTATTTTAGATGTTGTAGGAAGCCAGTCAGCACTACTCCATCAAAGACTCAGTGGTTTCGCATAAAGGCTAAATATTTGTCTCTAATTTTAACGAAAAATTGACAGGAATCAGATGCAGCGCAGGAATTTCAGCAAATTACTATTGAGTGCGAGATCAATTCGGGTAATCTCTCAGAGGTAGCAAAAACCTGATAGAAGTGAAAATTCAGCAACTTTGCTGCCATTTTCATTAGCTCAAAAAATAATTTCGATATCACGACTATTTTTTTAGTAACTGTAAAGTGTTTTAGCTCTAGTTTTGTTCCATTCTCCAGATTGCTATGCGCAAAAATTATATAGTCTGACTCGCAATTTGTATATCTATCTTATAATTCCGCATTGACCAAAAATGCTAATCACATAATTTTCATAATTGGAAAAAGAAATATGCTAATTATACACTTTTCATGCAATTCCATAAGTACAGAAAATTGCATGAGTGGTTTATGATTAGTAGTTTAAAATTGTATGACTAGCATTTTCCCATAAACCAAAAATACATACATATATAGCAGTGAAAGCATCAAACTTTCAAATTTTGGCAAACATTTTCGAAGATGCATTTTTCCAAACTTTGAGTTTTCAAATTATCAGACATGAATCAAGGCATACATAAACATGCCATACAAAAGAAATAGCGTTTTTGAAGAAAAAATTTATCTGGAAAAACGGGAAAAAACAATTTCGTGTATTCAAGACTACGTATCCACACAAAAAACAAATTTTGCATTAAAGAATGCTAGTCTTAGCATTTCCATATATTGAAATCATTTTCTTTTTTGTTTAATACAAAACACCGACTTTTATGCTAAAACAAAAAAAAATCTTTGAAAGTTCGTTGACGCCATTTTAGCAAAATCTATGAAATTTGTATGATTAGCATTTTTATAGGTTTGGTTTATGGAATTGTATAATCCTCTAAAGTTTCAAAGTTTCACCCGGAGCACCTGTCCAATTGATTTTTGTTTCGTCCACAATCCTGCTCTCTTTGTCTTCTGATAACGAAAGGCCTATGATGGCATCTTCGATATTACTATTCTCATCTGGACTGTCGTGTCCTGCGCAGTCTTGCACAATTTTACAAAAAGATTTTGTCCTGCATTTACTGCATATTTTCTCTGCTGCCGCAAATTTTTTTGTTTGACCTGGTTCCCATTGTTGGCCGCACCCATTGCTTGGATCTGACTCTGATGTTCACTCTTCGGTTTTTTACACTCCTGTTTCTTCTGAAGGATCTTCCTTTCCCCGCAAATTTTGCTTCTCTCGTTTCTGTTAATTCCTGTTCGAATATTTTAAAATCCTCTCTTGATTATTTGCCACGTTCTGTTTTTTTAAGTTTACAGCTTAGAGTAGGCAATACTCCAGCAATCATTTTTTTTTCATTTTCCTCTGAAGCTTGTCTATACGCCACATTTGGACTAGCTCCCTCAGAACTACTTGAATTTTTTGCACAAATACCGAACGCAGTTACAACCCAAAGGTGTTAGCTTTTTCCATGCCACGATCCTAATCTCGACTGCTTTCGCCTCTGGAATCTCCATGGTGTCCTGGTATGAAAGGCCTCCACTTGTTCAGCCACCTTGTGAAAGAAAGAGGATTGTAAATTATTTATCCATGATCCAATAACTGTTCTTGATCTCCGCCTGATTGGCTAGTATTTGTTGAGATTTTTTTTTGTAATTTTCAATATCAATGGTGCAAATAATTAGCATGCGTAATTTTTTTTAGCTTCAGGTGATGAAATATTTTGCGGAGTCCATACACTCGAGAACTATCAATTTGTCCATTTCATTTTCATCCAGGACCGGGTTTTTCATCCAGGACCGGGTCTTCAGCCTGGACCGGGTTTTGTTGTCTTCGCGAAGCTTTAGGGGAGCTCTCGGCAAGTAAGCTCGTTGTTTTAATAATCCTTGCTACCGCGAACAATTCTATATTTAGAGCAAAATAGTAGAATTATGGGATTGCTTCTGTTGGTTCGTTCTCTCTTTCCTAACAAAACCGCAAACTGGTCCCCTGGGTAGTGAATTCAGCGGGGTGACCGAGATTCACTACTACCTATAATCCCGAAAGGCTTAGTTGGTGGCAACTATTCTGTATTGTATTATGTTGCTTGCCCCTTTTTGCGCACTGTTCTCAGGCTGTTTTGTCTACTCGATAAAGTTGCAAGTATTTCTTATTGTAATTTAATTTAGTTGAGTATACGTCTAATTACAGAGGGTTCTGAGTGGCCAGGTTATAATCTAATAATCAAATCAAAAGGAAAGGGTCTGCGATTTATCAGCCAAATTGCCTAATTGCAATTAACCACCAGCTAACTCCACTAACACTAAATTGTTCTCTCTCTCTCTCTCTCTCTCTCTCTCTCTAG